AGGCTGCAAGACACGCGCGGTGCGCGACAACTCATAATTTGGGAAACAGGTGTCTGCAAGACAAACGTGTGCAAACTCCTCCTCAAGGTAGAGGGAAACAAAATCACGCTGCCGACAACGGCGACGCCAACCTGTCATCAGGAATTTTGCACTATTCGTTCGTTTGAGGGTGAGTCTTCTTGACATACTTTTCGTACATTATAATACTTGTACTCAATAAGCGAGTCGATATATTTGTTGCGTAATCTAATGTCACAACACAGTTTAAACCATTTTCGTGGCGAAAGGAATATTCGAGGTGGTTTAAAGAGCTTCTTTAGCCGGAATTCATTGGAAGAAATTTTTTGAAGCTTGAGACTCCTTCGCCATTCCCCGGCAAATACGTGTATGACTGCTTAAGATTGATTTCCATTAACATGTATCGATTGAAAGAAGTGTGGGCCTGCCAATTACAAGCGACTACTAATCAGGGTAACTAAAAATCGCGTTAAGATTTTTAAAATCCCCTACCATCGAAGTGCGTTGTAGAATTACAAGTTGCCACGTTTGCAAGTGTGCAATGTTATGTTTATTGATTGAGTCAACAATCAATGCTTTACCGTTTATTTAAGCTTGTTCGTAATTTTAATTTAGATTATTAATTAAGATAGATTCTTAAGGCAATACAGGATATTCATGTGCATAGAATTTCGCGGAAGCTTACTTGGTTATGTTTGTTTTGGTTTTTTGGAGGATGAGCATCTCTGCTATTATAAACTTTTAATTATTCAAATACACACTTACATTTATCCAATAATTTAAAATTAATGAAAGGCTATTAAGGCTGTTCCTATGTATATAATTATTTACAATGAGAATTAAATTCACTTTAAATGGTTGTTTTTAATTTCCTTTCAGAATTCAAACAAAAATTTACTTGGAAGAATAATGAATGGGTTCGAATTATTCCTTCTATTTACATTACATCATTTTATAAGCGACAAATTTTGGTTTGGGCAATAAGTTTCCAATCCAATTAAGCTAAATAACTGGGGCGGAAGGGGGGGGGGGAGATGGGGGTCGACAACACAAGTTAGAACTACGTCAATAAGATATTCCTTTGTTAAAATATTCACCGCTCCCACCCATATGTACAATTTAGAATGAAATAACACCTTTAATCACTGGGATAATCCAGTAATAGCATTTACCAGTGCCTATGGAAGCTGGAATAAGAAAGAGAGGCAAGATAAATGGAGGAAATCAAGCTACTTACTCTCCCTGTCTATCTAATGACAGGGCGTTAACAGTGTCATTTTGACCCCGCGCTTATAATTGCTAATGATTGGCGATGATTACAGCTTCACTTGTCATTGGCACTTTTTCCCCTTCAAATTCCCATGGCTATTTAAGGAAGATTTAGAGCCACCCATCAGATTTCTCCCCTGCCCCCCACCCCACCACCCCTCCCCCCACAGGTACCCAGTTAGGTAAACAAACTTCTGTAGTATTCCTTAATGACTCTCATGAAAAATAAATGCACCTTTATTATATAATCATCAGAGAGGACTCCAATAGAAATGTGCTATTAAAAAATTCTACCCCTCGTTTTATTTGTTTAAATAACTCAAAAAACGGATGACATTGGTAAGCCCTATTTCAATCAGAAAGTGATGTAAATTGACATCCCTTCTGTCATTTATAATATTTCGTGTCTGCTGTTATTAAAATAAGTAGGCATTCTCTGCTAGGCATGATATTCACCTTTTGGTAGATTTGCTGATATTCTAATTGATCTAAATTAAAAGTGACTTTGCTAATACTAAGTAAGAAATTGTAAAAGACAGGTTTCTCAGTTTGATTAAAGTAATTTTAATGGAAAAATGACAAAAATCCTTATTACTTGTGATGGTTTATGGTTGGGTTTGTGTTTCAGTATTTACATATTTCTGTTTTCCAAATTTAATCTAAAGAATTTGGTTCATCAAAACTCAAAATTCTGAGTATGTCAATTTGTATGAAAAAAAATGCAATTAAAGAAGGTGATGGAAAGAGAGAAAGAAGAGTGTCAAAGTCCAAAATGCAGGACACAGTTGTTTAATTTGTTTAATTGTTTACAATGCAGACCCCGTTGTTCGAAGTGGGTGACTAAGAGACGGTCAGATGGGAAGAGAAACCCCGAATTTCGCACTATTGTCATGACTTACAATGGCATGCACGAGGTTTGGTAGTCACCTTGGAAGAAATTAATTAAATTTTCCTCATTTTGGGATATCTTGTTAAAATAAGAACTGTGTTTTAGAACTTCCCAATTTAGAAGAAATTGATAATTGCTTCAAAAGGTAAATAAGTTGAAAATAATAAAATTCTTTTGAGCAGAATTTATGAAATAGAGTTGAGTTGAGTGAAATTACTAGTTGGCTTCGTAATTAGTCTTTCATAAAACATAGAGCGAGAAGAATTGAATTAGATTAAATTGATTAATCTCCCCATTTACCCTGCTCCCACTTGCCCTTCAAATAGAGAGATAAAAAATTGGGATGAGGCCAATAGGTTGGGTACGAACCACCAAGGCACTGTTAAACTTCCTCTTTCTTCAATTTCCTCTACTCTTCCCATCTTCTCATCTTACTTTCTCTATGCCTTCCTTCCTTCTTTGCGACGAATTACACTCGCAGTTTACCAAATACTTGCGCATAATCCTGCTTTCCTAGTACTCAAAACTGTTACCTAAATAACGAAGCAAGGTTTGAAATGTAGAACTTCGCTACTGAAATAGTTACAAATACTGCCAATCATATTCAGGCTTCCAACCTAAAGAGATGAGGAATAGTTCTGGTAGAAATGTGAGGATGCACTGAGGATAACAATTGATTAAGGAGACTTGATTTTTTATTTATTGCTTTGTTTAATTTTGGCTTAAGGAATGTATTTCATTGCGCCATGACCTAATGTTGTAGTCCCTAATTTCCTGAATGAATTAACCTTCGGAGTGTGTGGGTGAGGGGGCAGATTTTTCTGAACTTATTAATCAGTTGACGGAATCGTGATGCTGGTCACGTTAATTAGATTAATTCGTCTATTAACATGGGTGGATAAATTCTATGGGATATACAAAATTTACAACCAACTAACCACTTCTAAACTTACGAAAACTATTTCAAAAGTGCCAAGTTCATAGCAATCAGCATAACTTTCTAACCTGCTTTTATTTCTTCCATTTGGTTGGAACACTTTTTCGAACTAGCAAGTGGTATTTTCAATGCGTTTCCCTGCAACATAATCGATTTGTCCCCCATTATTTTTGGCTGAAATCGATCAATTTGTAAATGTAACGTGCTATTCTTGCAAACCTGCCCATTAAAATCTCTCCATCGGAAATGTTATTAAAATAATTTATTAAAATATAGGATTTTCTATTGAACCCAACTATCATTTGAATTGGAGAGTGTTAGCGCGTCTAACAGAGGAATAATTAGTATTAAATATTCACTTTTAAAGCTCAATTTCATCGTCTGCATTTTTATTTGGTATTTTTTATTAATCTGAAGGCCTCTAATTACATTAATAAATTTCTAAGATCCTAGTACCAGAGAGGAGCGGTTAAGGTGTACATAATTCCGCCATCACGCTAGAGTAGTGTTGGCAGGAGAGCGGAATTTTATATATTATCAAATTAACGAGGCACCTTTCATGCTAGTTGGAATTAGGAAAAAAAGACAGCCTCTCTCCATCAGACGGTAGTAGTGAGTATTCAAAAAATCCGCTTGCGTGGCAGTCGGTCAAAACATCGCTCTCGATTTGAAGAGTGGAAGACCACAAAAAATTGGGTGTTGTGTATTGCCTGCACAGAAATGCCAGCGCGCGCGGTTTCCTTTGGCTACTTACCTGCCATCCCACTCTAGACCTCCTGGGACACTCGGGTTGGTGGTTATTTTAAATTTCAAAAAAAGAGAAACGAAGGCAAAAAATCATGAGACAGAGATTTAGATAATCTACTGGATTGGCAGTTGAATTTTTTCCAGCTACTATTCAACATTAATCTCACGCTCAAATTCTAAATTAATTTTTTTTGGTAAAATTTATCGAAAGTATACTTTGAGCTCCCAAAGTACTTATTGTTTGTATTAATTAATAAATAGTTTAGTAGTGGGAAATAATAATACGAATAATAATATTGACAATTTGATTTAGTCCTGGTGATGTCTGTTGGTGATTAGGTGAAACTGGTAGACCTGTAATTTTGCAATTTTCGTTCGTATAGCCTTGACATTGACAAGAATTCAAAGTGGAATAAAGCCAACTTACTGAAATGCGGCAAAATATCCATGACTTTGTAAGGTACAGTGTAGAATAACTTCTATTGTTAATTGCGTTCAAACAGATGCGATTTAATACGGTTATATAATGAAGTAAATGACAAAGGATTATAAATAGGCTTACTTTTGTGCAAACTCGGGAGCAACTATTTATTTATTTAATTTTAATAATTATTATAGGTTCCCTGCTTTCGCCTCGTGTGATACATTAGTGGAGCACAACGTCGACCCATATCCGAAAGAATAGAAATAGCCAAAAAATTTTAGTTGTTAAAACGGAAGTAAATTCAACGCCCCTATTGTTTCCCCTGTTTTTGTGAATTAAAGTTTGAACACTTCTCATATTGATTATTGGCTAACTTCCTAGTCCCCACAACTTCCAGGAAGGTTTAGGCGATATAATTTTGCACGGAGCTTAAGTGAAATTAATGCCAATCGATAGGTTTTCGTCATGCGGCTTGAAGAACTTTAAAAGATTTAGTCTTCCACTAAGGGGGAAATAATTTCACCCAGGAAACGAGGTCCAATTTAGAATGCACTGTAAGCTTTAATTGCAGACTATTTTATCCTGAGTTGATTTTTTCCTGCGCACAGTATCCCAACTCTCTTTGAAAAGCGGGAGGTGAAAAGACTGTTCTACACAAATCTATTTCATCCCAACCGTTAGCTTTTTTCTTGCCCTTTCGCTTTAGGCTCATGGGGATGGACTTAAGAAAATACTTCTTCTCATTCTTCTCAACATTCCTCCTACTATCCTCGATCCTTTATCCCAATACACATGGTCAATTAATTGAATCTGTGAGCGTTTCGGAGAATAGGGAAATTGGCACCGTTGTATATGACCTCAAAGAACGTCTATCTCGGCATCTTGACCCTGACCAGCTGAATAATCTTACCGCTTATGCAGGACAGCAAGACCTCTTTTGGCCTTTTGCTTTAAAGGATCTTCGAATAATTGTAGCTCGGCCATTGGACAGAGAAGCTATCTGTGAGAAACAAAGGGCACTTGTTTTAAATCAACATCATGGTGGACAGCAGATGCAGGGAGAAGACTGTCCCATCTATCATTGTTGTCAGTTACTTCACGTAAATGTGGTTGTTAGTCCAACTAGTCCTCCAATGGCCTTCTTCATTCGAGTGGCCGTACAAGATCTTAATGATAATCCACCAATATTTTCTCACATTGAATCTCCTTTCGCCACTATCCCTGAGGATATCCCTGTTGGTGAACGGATACATCTCCCTGAAGCTTTTGACGCCGACAGTCGACCTTTTGGAGTTGTTGACTATCGAATAACACAATGGATGCAAGGAAATGCCTCTCATTTCCAGCTAAACGTAATTGCAGACCAAGAAAATGAGGAAGTCAGCAGAAATCGAGAAATCGGCTTCACGAAAATTGGTCGACCTTACCTGAAAGTTATCCATCCTCTTGATCGTGAAACTGAGGAAGTATATGAATTTATTTTACAAGCAATTGACGGTGGTCAGGGTGAGGGCAGAATGCCTTATACTGGAAGTGTAGCGGTCATGATTCGCATTCGAGATGTTAACGATAACGCTCCTGTTTTTGATGAAAAATCCTACAGTGCTGTAATTCATGAAAACACTCTTCCTCAAAGGATTCTACAATTCAAAGTGTCGGATAGGGATTCAGGAGAAAACGGGAGACTGTTTCTCAACATTATTGATTCACCTCACAAGGTGAGCAATCTCTTTCGAATCTCTCTACAAAATAATCTTCCGCAAGGTGAGATGATCGTCAAGTATGGTAATTCCCGCCCTACTCCTGGATCTTTCTATACTGCATCACTTCATCTTCTTGAATACCTTGACGCTGAGCAGCTACCGCCTGTATTAAAGTTCTACATTTCAGCGTCAGATAATGGCCAACCACCTTTGAGTTCTCGGGTGGAGGTTAATATTGATATCGTTAACGTGAATGACCAAGCACCAAAGATTGAATTTTATAGGGAGGGAACGAGACTAACTCCAAATAGACTGGTACTACCTGAAGTTATAACAGCCCCAGAGTCTATAGTTGCTGAAGTTCATGTCACCGATGCGGACTCAAGCTTGAGTCAATTAAGTTGTAAAATCACCTCAGAGGGAGATACATTTCGACTCACAGAAGTAAATCCGTTTACTGGGACTATGGAAAACTCAAACTATGGAGGTCATTTGATAGCATCATCCCAAAGTTTCCTTTTCCCTGCTTATCGACAGTTTACGCTCAGGACTAAGGTTAATCTGGACAGAGAAGCGAAGGCCTTGTATGTGGTAAGTAAACAGTTACGTGAAATAAATTTATTTAAACATATAAGAAATTATTGAATAATTAAAATATTGACATTTTGTGCTTATTTCGAGTAAAATCATTATTAGCTTATTTCAAAGTGTTAAAAACTAACATGTCCATAGCATTTAGAAAAATAGAATAGAAAATTTTTTTATTTTGAAATTCAAAATATGAGCAAGCACTAGTTGCATAAAAAGCCAAAAAGTATCAGTTTCATAAAAAATAAAATCCCTTAGTGGTTCCAGAAGATCAATCTTACCAAATTAAGCAAGTAGTATTTGTTTAGATTTAATTAAAAAAACACTTAAACGAACAGAATCAGGGGCTGCCTAAAATCAGTTAACACACACAATAGTCTCCTTCCCTTTTTGATTTAACAATCGAAAAGCAAACGAAGTTTCTGTCCATTTAAATATGCAAGCACAATAAAATCTCATTTAAACAATCTAGCACATTAATGCATAGGCGGGGGGGGGGGGGGGGAAGGTGAGCAATATGATGGCATGGTGAGGGATTTTTTACCCCAAAGGGACTTTGCGTGGCTCCAGGAGCATAATTCCAACCATAAGTCAGTGATTAAGACTCCCATGTTGTGGAAATGTAAAAAAGAGGTTAATCTGACTTCCGGAGGACCAATGATGGGACTTCTGTATATTTTTTCCCCCGATGTATTACTAACCATCAATTGTGGTGGTCGTTTTTTTGACAACCCTAGTTGAATGAGAAGACGAAAATGAGTCAGTCGTTGGAGGTTTGATATAATGACTTAATTGGCATTTATTTGGAGGGAAAGTCTGATCTCGCCAAATATTTTCTTGTCTTCTTTTCTACCGTGCATAGCCATTAAACTAAATTTGGTTTGGCTGACCTCAACAGAGTGTAAACACGTGGGGGAAAAGCGTCGAATCTAATGATTGGATAAATATTAACTAATATTAATTTGCATATATAACTCAGCATTTAAAATTGTGGCCAACTGAGAGACATTCCTATTTACTTGCTTGAGACGCGATTTTACCAAATTTGGAACAATTATCATCCCATTTGTGAACACGATTTAGTGTGTAGATTTACATTACTTTGAATGCTATTTAATGTTTTTCTACCTACACGGAAAGCGTTTTGCAGTTTTGGACGGGCGCGTAACAGTTCTACCATTTATCAATTTAATTAAATCTTGAAGATCATTATTACTCAACAATACAAATCACTCGTCAAGGCTGATCATTTCAATTTGTTCAAATAGAAATTAGAGGAAGAGAAAAGATAATTTCTTAACCTTTTTAGAGCAACTATCGAAACAATTCTTAAATTAAAAAATAATTGATAGATAAACTGTCATAGCAACTTACTTTAATTGCTATATCATCTCCTCAATAAAACCAATGTCATTGAGAGGGAATTAATTAGACCTAAAATTACGAAAAAGTTACAACTTGAATTCCACTTATCGGTTATATTCTGCTGACAAAAAGTACAAAATTGAAGACCTTGTTCCGAAATAAATAACGAAGGCCAGTAAATTAGAAACAGAGTCGAATATATATATATATATGGTGTTTTAGAATTAGAATAATATAAGGCATTTCTTTGCATAATAAGTGTCTTTTGTATATATTTCATCTATTATATGTTAGTGGATAAAAAAGAACTCACATTTTGTATATCCTTTGAACATGAAATAATTAAACATTCCACACTTTTAAACCGCACATAAACAAGATTAATAGTACTAAAAATTCATCCTCCATCGGCAATTTGAAACGCATATATGCATTACCTACATCTAGACGAAGGAGAGGTCTGGTTTTTTTTGCATTACACCCTGTGGAGTGGAGGACAAGAGGAGGGGCTGGGTGGATGTAGGAACTGGGGGCAGGAGGGAGGGAGGGGGGGGGGGGGGGGGGGGGGGGGGGGGGAAGGCGGTGTGAGTAAGGTATCATCATCAATTAATTTTCACTTCTACTCCAAAATGCGTGAGAACGCAAAAGGAATAAAAACTCCCACTCAATCGTTACGGTTCGTTATTCCCCTTCCTCCCTAACCCTAAACCTTTCATCCTTCTCTTTGCCTCAAATTCGCCTCCTCTCTACCCACCAGTGTATGGGTAGACCTCTCTTTTAAGTTGTGTGAGCTTAGGGAAAACTAAACTCTACCGGGTGAGGAGGGAGGGGGTGGGGGTGGGGGTGTTATTGCGGTCGAAATGATTAATCTTCATAGAATGTGTGTTTTGCTTTTACTTACAATACTAGAGAAGAACTTCTCCTTACCCTTTGGTTGCCTGTCTTAAAGGACCTCATGAATCACATTCAGCCAAGACTTTAAGGTGCAAATTGTAAAATGGGATAGTATTTTAAGGCCATCAATTACCTAACAAAAGTTTGTGCAGTTTAATTTCCTTTTCACAAGACATGTTAATTCTCCAAAATATTAAATCGTTTTTATTCTTGTTTAACTTCACTTGGCATTGCAATTGAAACATGTTATAATATGACTAACCAGTAAGGCGGGGTGATTAAAATGTAACCATCTAGTTACAAATGAAATAGCAATTTTAACCCCACTCTGTAGAAATGTGTGTAATATGGAGGGATAATACTGAAGACTCAAATTTTTTGCTGACGCTTTTTACTATTAACCCACGAAGTAAGAGATTATATGGGATTAAGTGAGCATAGCTTTCAAGTTCTAGCGCGTTTGCTTGAACTCAAGAGGGTCAGAAAAAAAGCGTCCCTCTGATAGTATAATTCAGAATACTGGCTGTATGGTCGATATGGTCATCACATACCTCTTGTTGCCTGGAAAATAACTTCTTGAGTTAGTGCCCAGAAGCGTATCAATAGCATTTAGTACCAACCAATGTATTTACTTCCAGTCTCTTAAACATTTTGCGAATTTGTTAAATGTTTTTGTTCCACAGTTGCTAACGACCTTAGCAACAACCTGGACTTGAGTATTTTTTTAAATTAGCGCTTGCCTACTTTACGCTCAAATCATTGGTTTCCAAACTGAAGAGTGGGTTGATAAATTGGCGCTTCCCGATCATTTAGACGCTCAATGATTTTTATTGACAATCATTTTTTTCTATTATCTCTAAGTTTCTAATTACTTAAGATGTATCTTTTAAAGATGATTTTACAAATTATTTCCATTGAAGAATAATTGAATATTTAATTTAAATAATGCATTATGATTTTATGAAAAGTATTTAATGCTATTAACTTACACATTAATTAGTAGTACGAAAAATCGTGAATTTAAAATTCATAGGCAAATAATTATTCCAATTATTGTTATGTAGCATGTAATGTGCATTATTGATGCATAATATATCTATTTCTGTTAAATTCAAATTTTTCCATTGAAAGTTATTTATAAAAGAACTGATGTTATCTTTCTCTCTCAACGGAAATTTATTATTGTTTGATTTTTCCCTTAGATGTTATAATTTATGGTATTTACTAGCAAATATATTATTATTAACTATAGCTTAGGTATATATAAACGCATATTTGTACTTTACAATCTACTTACTTAAGTTATTTCCTTACTTCGTTACCTTTGAGATAGTTATCTAAGTAGCTGAAAAAAACTTGCTTACTGCAGACAAGTGGGATATAAACGGTCTTATGTTATAATTATTTCGTTAGTCAAATTGAAATTATTTCTTTTACTATAATCAGGAAAGCATTTTTTTAAATAAATGTGAATTCTGACTCAATTGATTTAAAGACGGAACAACAAATATTGATTGTAATTGGATATTCTCAAAGCAAGTTATATGGACATTCTTAGTGATTCACAAAGTTTGCACTTGATTAGCTTTCTCCTGTAAAGCACATTTTGCTATATTTATTTTCATCTAAATGAAATTAATTAATAGCATTCGACAAGCACCCTTATTCAACTTCCTTAAAATTTTATTTAAACAATTTTTGTTTTTATTTCTGATATTCATGATTTCTTGAGGAATTGTGGAGATTCTTTATGATTTCCGGTTGATATTATTGCCTCGGCTGAAAAAATCTCAGATATCAAATCTCTTACTAACGGAAATACAATATTGGCTGATTTTACAAGGTTGTCCCTGATATAATATGGTATTTTAGGCCAATAATGTAGTAAAACGAAAGCACAAACACAACATGCAAATAGCATTTAATTGATGGAAGTATTATGTAATGAGAATTTCAAATCAAATATTCGATTTCTAGTGCTTTAGGCCTCTTTATCCACCTTCAATATACGCTACCAAATATTAAAAATTGATTTCAATTCAGGGAGAATAGAGGTTATATCAAGTTTAATTGACTTATTTGTTCACACAGGTTTTTAATAAATCTAGTAGAGAGGAAGAAAGTAATTTTTTAAATTTTCGATCTGGAAACCCGAGTCGGGATCTGTCGTAGCTTAGGCTTCTTGACCACTAGGCCTCAAATATACCAGATGTCGGGTTTCAACAGCTAAAGTTTACTCTTACTATTGAATTATTAATGGAAACTTCCTTTAGTCTCGCCCTAAGAAACGTTGCACCTGATTCCAGAAAAAAACTTCTTTGTTTTACAAGTGCTCTGAACAGTCACAAATCCAGTGATTGAGGATATTAATAAAAGATCAAAGTGAATTGAATCTATATAAACGCACATTGGTTTAAAATTGATGAGGAAACTCCCAAGCCCTTTTAAGAAGCGTTTTTTTCCAATCTCTTAATAATACAAAAGAGACGCCTAAGGGGTCTTTCTCATTGAGAAACTGGAATTCTGCTGCTCCAACCATTGACCATTTCCATATTTGGTTGAACTGCGATCATTGTCTTTGCAGACTATCTAGCTAGTCACTGAAGCATTGATACATATATTTATTTATTTCAAATGGCAGGCGTTTTGATAGCTATCATTAGCCATTTAGCTGACATCGGGCTTCACAGAGGGAAAGTTCTTCAAAGTAGAAGAAAGTCAAAGGGTGGGGAACAGAAGAGCGATTTACAGGTGTGAAAGAGCCAGACAGACACAAAGGTAGAGAAAAAGGTTAGGTGAGTAC